GGGGAGGGAAGAAGAGAACCAACAGCTGACTCTGCCCTCCATGTGCGTGTATGCGTACACAATACATACTTATATACAGGTGCACAAACACATACACGCTTATACATATACAATCACACACTCATACACCAGCACACACATATGCACACACACAAACACATACAAATGCACACACACAGCTGGGCGGTGGTGGCGCACGCCTTTAATCCCAACACTCGGGAGGCAGAGGCAATTGAAGCCCTGTGAGTTCGAGGCCAGCCTGGTCTACACCTACAGCTAGGACTGTTACACAGGGAAACCCTGTCTCAAAAAAGAACAAAGCAAAACAAAAAAAAATACACACATAAATTAACAGAAACATGCACACAATAAATAAACATACTTTAAAAAAAAAACCCAAAGGCGTGTGCACTTACAGGTAAATAACTTTCTCCATGGCTCACACGTGGGAATATCATGGGCCTGGTGAACTGTGGTGCAATTGGGGAGAGGAGAACGTTCTTGTGACAGCCAGCCAGGGACGGCTGCTGGCAGCAACCTCATTGCCATCTCCTTCCTAAAGCTGTCCTTTCCTTCAGTCAGGGATGGAACCCAGGGTTTGGGGCAAGTAATGGGGGGGCTGAGCCCCTCCTCCAGCCCCTCACTGGGGGATTCTAGGGAGGTGCTCCACCTTGACCACGCCCCTAGCCGCTCACTGGGGAATTCTAGGGAGGTGCTCCACCCTGACCACGCCTCTAGGCCCACACAGGGTTCTGTGGTAGGCTACTCTTAAGTTACTCACATGGTGAACCCTCATTCTTATGGATATGGAACTTTTGCCTTTAAAAAAACTTTGCGTGCACGTGCCTTCACTGGTGTGTGCACGTGATCATGGGTACCCACGGATCACAAAGCTGTTGGGTCTCTGGAGTTCTGGGCAGCTGTCTGTGCTGGGACCAAACACAAGTCCTCTGCAGGAGCATTATGAGTACCCAGCCCCTGATATATTAACTTTGCCAGGTCGGCTCTGTAGGGCAGGCTTGAACTACAGATCCTCAAGTGTGGTGTGTGTGTGACAGATGTGCGCCACCACCTGACACCACCATACACACACACACACCGCACACGTACGCGCACTCTCCACACACACACACACTCACGTACCCGCATTCACACTCTCTCACACACACACACACCGCACTCGCACATGTATGCGCACTGTGTACGCACGCACACGTACTCACGTAGCACACTCTCACCACACACGCACCCGCACTCACACGCACTCTCTCTCTCTCTCTCTCTCTCTCTCTCTCTCTCTCTCTCTCTCACACACACACACACACACACACACACACACACACACGGAGGCACGCACTTGCCTTTTCTGTCTCTCAGTGCCGGCGCCATCAGCACTTCTGCTGGTGCACCACCATGTGTCCCTTCATCACCATGACAATGGACTCTGTCTCTGAACTGTAAACCAGCCCCAACTACATGTTTGTTTTTATAAGAGTCGCTATGGCTGTGGTGTTGTTGCAGGAACACCTAAGGCACATGGTATCCGTCAGTAGTCAAGGCAAGTAGTCTTCAGCAAGTGTTGGTGTGCTGGCACACATCACACGCCTCTACTGCTAGCACTCGGGAGGCAGAGGCAGGCGGATCTCTGAGTTCGAGGCCAGCCTGGGCTACAGAGAGAGTTCCAGGTTAGCCAGGGCTACCCAGAGAGACCCTGCCTTAAGTGTCTTGGCCCACTGAGCCACCTGGAGGCCCCATATGACTTCTTTTTTTCTTTTTTAAAACGGGGTTTCTTTATTTTTGTAGCTCGACTGACCTGGAACTCACTGTGTAGACCCAGCTGGACTTGAGCTCACAGAGATCCGCCTGACTCAACCTTTTTTGGAGGATTAAAAACAAAACACAAAAGGTTGCTCCATTCCAAACTGCCCTTGGCAAACTTCCCCCAATTCTCCTGCCTCAGATTTTCAAGTGTTAGGGTGAGAGACACGTGCTACTGGGTCCCTTTATTTCTAAAAAAGTGAAAAACGCATCCCCTCCTAGAGCGGGCACACTGAGCCCAACTAGACGGATCTGGAGAGAGGGCAGGGGCAATGGCAGCCACACTGGGGCCCAGATGCAGGGAGGTCAACGTCCGGGATGGGAGGGTGAAGAGCTGACTGGGGGCAGGGGTCTAGGCATGGCCCTAAGGGCACGTGCGCACTGCAGCAGGGTGGGGGTAGGGTGCGATGTGGGGATCCCTCACCCCTGAACCGTCTGTCTCTCTAGATCCTCCGCAGGCTGAGTGATAGATTCGAAGATCTGCAGAAATGCTGCAGATCTTTGAGAATTTCTCAGGCCGGCAGTGTCAGCACAGACAGGCGATGCACGTGCAGGGGGTGAGTGCACGTGCAAGCCCACGTCCACATGCGTGTGGGTTTCCTTCCTGGGCGTGGCAGACAGTGCCGCCATACCCATCTGCGCTTGCATGCAGGCCTCGCCCGATGGCGGAAGTGGGAGGCTTCCTAGTGTCCTGGGAGAAAAGGGAGACCAGAAGGCTGGGACCGTGTCCCAGTGCCTGCCGCGTCTGCTTTGCGAGCACGAGCCTGGATCTTAAGGGCCCACGTGAAAAGCAGCAGGAGGCCAGGGACCTGGGAATGAAAGGATCCGGGGACTGGGGAGCTCCCAGAAACCCAGCATCCCGGAAGGAGAGCACACCAGGTGCAGCCAGAGATCCTGTTCCCCAAAGGCAACGCCACTGGCTTCTACCCCAGCAGGGACTGGCAAGCGTGCATGCGCGGATTGCACACGCTAGAGACCACACAGGCAGAGGACAACGAAGGCTGAGGCTGGGTGTGGTGGCACCGGTGTGGGCTGGCACAGGCCTGTCATCCAAGCATTCGGGAGGCGCGCAAGGATCAGGGGTTTGAGACCAAGCTTGGCCATGTCTCGAGTTCTAGACTCACCCGAGACTCACGAACCAAACCCCTACAGAGAAAATAAGTTGAGGGGATAGTGATGTCGTCCTTTCCTGTGCTCATTCGAGCCACTCGTGACAGATACAGGTTGGGGCCCACGAGTGGAGGACCGGACCATTCTGCCGCTGTCTGAGTGCACCCCGGAACCCTACACTGGACTGGCTCCCCATGGCACTGACTGTCTCCTTCCACCGGCAGGGGACAGGTCTGGAATGGGTGTCAGCCCCCATCCAGTCCAAGCTGGCATCTACTGGGCACAGCTGGGTCCCCAAGGACCCAGATCCTGTACCCTAAAACCTTGGCTGGGTGTGGAAGGACAGGGGTACCATGTGCTGGGGTGCAGGTGTCTTTGCCTTGGTGTTACATTGACCCTTGGAAGGCCTGAAGGGTGCCAAGTAGTATTGTGTTCCCAGAGATCGAGTTCTGTGGGTACCACAAAGGATGAGGACACTTTCATCCCAGCTTGCTATGACCCTGGCATCTACAGATTCTCAGGTTGGCGTTTAGGGAATTCTGTCCCTGTCCAGGTTCCCCAATGGTCAGTGGGATAAAGATGCACCTCTGCCCCATGCTCCAGAGTGGGGGCTCCCAGGGGCACCCCTCTTCACCCAGATATTTTCAGCAAGACCTCCCGCTGCCCTGCAGGACGTGGTGCTGGCCCCAGCCCATGGGTGTTCTCCGTTGGAGAAAAAGTTCTAGAGAAAGACCCCAGAACCAAGGTTAGACTCAGACACCTACCCCGGAGCTCTGTCCAGCACCCCAGCTTCCAGAGACACCCAGAGTGAGGAGATGGATTTCCCATTCCGTTTCATCGGCCAGTGGTGGCTGAAAGGCCAGAACCACCATGTGCCGTGGAACCCAGTAACTAGTAGTGATTGTTCCTGGCCTCAGTTTCCCCAGTGTGATCAGACTATGGAGCCTCAGAGTTGGTCTGGGAGTCCAAAGCTGTACTCCCCAAGGCTCCCTTGCCCAGGTGGGTGTGTGTCCCTGTGCTCAGGGAAGCAGCTCCCACCCAGGCCCGCAGGGACCTTGGCGTCCCGTCTCCCACCCACTTCCAGCATGCCAGCCGCAGAGCAGGGTGGAACCTACCAGAGATGGAAACGTAAACAGAGCATCTCCACAGCCTCAGCTCTGCACCCAGGCTGAGGAGCCACACAGGGCCACCCACAGGGCTGAGGCTCCTGATCACACCAACTCCCACCCTGAGTGAGACTCATAGAATAAGGTCTCATGTAGATGGCTGTGTCTGTTCCATACCCACAGCTGCCACAGGGATAGCTGCTTCATAAATACAGCAAGCAATTAAGGCAGACCCCCTACCCACGAGTGGGAGGGACCTAGGAAGTCATGGCCTGGAGCGGAGTGTGTCAGCAACAGGTTCTCTTCCTATGGCTCAGGCTTCTAGCTACCCACACCCACAGTGGACAAAGTTCTACATGAAGACCCCAGAACCAAGGTTCTGGGAAGCTAAGGGTGCCCATTAAGGGGTCCCAGGTAAAGGGGGGTGTCTGTCACCTAGGTGCTACAGACAGTGACTTTGGGTTGGACACTGCCTGTAGGACTCTGGACAGCCACCTCAGTGGAACCAAGAGGCCACACTGGGGACCGTCTGGTACTTCTGGTCCCATTGCAGCTGCCTGCACGCCTTGCAGAAGGCCAGAACCATGCTCCCCAAGCGAGGCCTGAGCGTCTTCCTCCAGCGAAAGTAACGCTGGTAGCTCAGGCTATCCCTGTCCAGCTCCTGCAGGTACCGAGCCAGGTCCCCTGGGCTCTTGAAGTCATCCACGTGGATGAAGGCGTCAGGGGGCAGGAACCGTTCATAGTTCTTCCTGCTGGGCCCCAGGACCACAGGCACGGCCCAGGCTTCCAGAGCATTCCTCCACAGCTTCTCTGTGATGTAATCTGGGTGGAGGGAATTTTCGAACGCCAGGTAAAACTTGTATCTGGCCAGTGTCTCCGTCATGTTGCCTTGGGGAAGCGGTTTATGCCCTCGGCCATACACGTCGACACGGAGGTGACTCTTAAGGTTCTCATAGTACTGCACCCGGGCCGACTTGGAGTTCCAGTTGGACACAGCCCAGGCCACTAGGTCAGTCTTGGCAGACAGGTTGACCTGGATTTGGCCTGGAGGCTCCGGCCACGGCTCCAGCCAGCCATAGGGCGTGAAGATGTCAGAGTCACTGCGATAGGACATGGTGAGGTTGAAGTAACCATCCAGGGCTGACAGATGGCTGCAGTGGCTAGGCGACTCCAAGCTGAACCACACCCAGCGCTGGCCTGGTGGTCTCGGCTGAGGTGGCAGCTGTGACTTGGGGTTGGCGCTGACTTCACGGTGGTGGACGATGACTGCGTCTGCTTGGGGGTACAAGCTCCGGTTGGCGGTCAGCTGGCAGTCGACGGTGCCCGGGAGCATCTTGGAACAGGGCGACAGAGCCACTGGTGTGTGGAAGGGCCATGTCCACAGTAAGATGAGGAGAGGTCTGGGGGCAGGGGGAGTCGGGGTGGAGGCTGGTCCCGGGGAGCGACCAGGAGCTGGGGGTCCAGGTCGGTCATAGGACACTCGGGTGTAGGAGAAGAAACCCAGAGCAAAGAGCAGCTGCAGCAGCAGGCTGACGAGGTATGGGCGCCAGGGACACTGTGCCTTTACTGCTCGGGGCATATCCATGGCCTGGGGACCTGGGAAGAGATGGAAGGATAGGATGATGAGGCCCAACGTTATTATTCATGGTTATTAGACAGTTTCAAAAGGGTCTCATGTAGCCCACGCTGGCCTATAATAGCTCGGTCGTCAAGGATGACGTTAATGCCTGGCTCTCTGGCCTCCATCTTCCGAGTGCTGGGATGGCAGGCATGTGCTCCTATGCCCAGCTAAGTCTTGATAGACGCTGTTAGCATTTTCTCTATGTCGGAAGACAGACCTCAAACAATGACACAGCAAAAATCCAGAGACCCAAGGTCTTGCCCCCGTGGGTCCCCCTCCTTCTTAACTCTGGACAAAAGACCCTCTCTCTACTCTGGTCCCACCTGGGTTCCACCTTTTCCCAGTTTCTTCTCCAGTTTCAGGGAAGTTAGACCCGAATAGAAAATCTCACAGACGTCTCTGGAGTTTCGGTTCCAGGATTCTGGCTGGAAGGGTGAGATGTAAGGCTTGAGGCTGTGGAGGAGGGTCCCACATTCACCCAGGAGATGATGCTCTTCAGGGACCTCAGCTCTCAGAGACGCACCATCTCTGACCTACGCACCCTGGAACCGTCCGTCTAACAAAAGGGAAAACTAAGGCTCAGAGAATGGCATTCCTCTACCCCAAATGCCCCCACTTATCAGTTGTCACCCTAATCCACAGACAGTTCGGGTCTATAGGTGCCTTCTAACGAGGGAACTACAGAGCCCGTTCAGCGTGGCTGTCGGGGGCTGCATAGGTCCTTGTCAGACATCTTCCTCAATTGTTTCCTGCCTTATATTTAGAGATGGAGTCGTCTTTGGCCATACCACCCTGGACGTGCCTGATCTCGTCTGATCTCAGAAGCTAAGCAGGGTTGGGCCCAGTTAATACTTAGTACTTGGATGGGAGGCGGAGTCCTGATGGTTCACCTGATTGGGACCCCAGCGATCCTCTCATCTCCACCTCCCCAGCCTTGGGATTTGAGGCGTATACTGGCTTTTTTTATGTAAGCACCAGGGATTTGAATTCAGGTCCTAATTTCAGGGAGGCAAGTACTTTATAGACTCAGCCAGCTCCCCAGCCTTTATTTTTTGGATTTTTCTGATAAGGCCTCATGTATCCCAGGGTTAACGTCAAACCCATTGTGATCTCCCTATTTTGGCCTCCTTGGGTGCTGTGCTGTTCCTCCCTGCCTGCATTACAGATCCTGTAAATATTGATACTTGGAACTGGAGATTTCTGAATTGTTACAAGCACAGGCTGCTTTTGTTGACAAGCCGGGTTCCATTCCCAGGACCCACACAGCAGGCAGCTCACAACCACCTGTACCTCCCGCTCCAGAAGACCCAGAGCCCCCTGCTGGCCTCTTCAGGCACTGCACTCACAAGCACGCAACACAAATAAATAGTAAAATATCCCTGACCACGCCCCTAGCCCCTCACTGGGGATTCTAGGCGGGGCTCCACCCTGACCACGCCCCAGTCCCTCCCTGGGGATTCTAGGCGGGACTCCACCCTAACCACGCCCCAAACCATCACTGGGGGCTTCTTGGTGGGGGCTTTACCCCTGACCACTCCCCAGCCCCTCATTGGGGATTCTAGGCGGGGCTCCACCCTAACCACGCCCCAAACCCTCACTATGGGGTCCTGGGGGTGCTCCATCCCATAGTGATCTTGTTGACATTTCCTGCCATTTATAATTTGAATTGGAGGTTTGTGCGCTGTAAACCCTGGCAGGTGGGTGGGTGATGTTCCCATCTGGGCCCCAGCAAGGTGTCTGGTAAGAAAGCAGTGTGACAAGTTGGCCCAGCTTTGAATTTGGGTGGATCCCCTCAAGTCTCTGCTGTTTATTACTCTGAGGGATTATGTGCCTCAGATTACAATGTTTGGTTTTTATGCCAGTGTCACATGGTTCTGGTGTGGGCAGCCCTAAGGGACAGGCAGTGATGACTTACACAGCGACCTGAAGAGGACAAACGAGGGTGACTTCCTGTGTCAGTAGAAACGCCAGGCAGTGGTGGTACACGCCTTTAATCCCAGCACTCAGGAGGCAGAGGCAGGTGGGCTTCAGTGAGTTCGATCGAGGCCAGCCTGGTCTACAGAGTGAGTTCCAGGACAGCCAGGGCTACACAGAGAAACCCTGTCTCGAAAAACCAACAGTGTGGGGGGAGATCGCTGTAAATTCGCACCCTGGCATGGCAACACACTCATGACCCCAGCACTCACTCCAGACACTGAGGCAGGAAAGTGGAGCATTCGGGCTAACCTGGACCCCATCTCGGACCAAACAAAACAGAGAATGAGGGGTAGGGATTGTGGGCAGTGTTCACCCAGCACAGGGAGCCCTGGGTTCTGTCCCCCAAAACAAGCATGGTGGAGATAGAGGCAGGACAATCAAGAGTTAGGGTCATCCTTGGCTACGTAAGGAGTTTGAGGCCAGCCTGGACTATGTGAGACCCTCAGAAAGAAAATAAAAACAACGGCAACAACTTAAGACACAAATGGACACAGCACATGTCTGGGATCGTCCCTCCTTTGTCATGTGAGAACAAACGGGGCGAGGGCCGGGATGGCCCGTGGATGGTATGACTTCCAGACCAGCCCTGGGTCAGAATGAGGTTTAAACTCCCCTGACTCTGTCCTTGGAAAGTCAGGGACCCGCTTCCTGCTCCACAAACCCAGATCCCTGCCGCTGCTAAGCCCCTGCCCGTGGGTATGAGCTGCTGGCTCTGGGCCATCAGTCCGGGCCAGCCCAGGCTTTACTGGGAATTAAATGTAAGCCAGTTAAGGGTAGACAAGAGGAAGGACAGGCTAAAGAGGTTTCTCTCAAGAGAAGTGCTCCCGAGTGGGCTAAAGTAAGATGGTCTTCCCAAGTGGCCTTACCTGGAGCAGGAGGCAGCTGCAGCCCAGACCTGATCAGCGCAGGATCCTTCTCAGAATAATGGTGATCCGAAAGAAAGGAAGGAGGAAGTGTATTACAATTGTTTTCTTTATGACCCAGCCCACAGCTTCCAGATGAACAGTGATCTAAGTTTAAGGTCCAACCTCTATCTTTGGTCCGGGTTGCTTGGCTAAGAGCCAGCCTCTGAGCTACCACTCCTGAGGTGCCTGGTCTGTAAGGCTGATCAGTGCGGCTGTTTTACTCTCTGAACTTCAGGCAAGCTTTACTTATTAAAATACAAATGAACACAAACTGAGTAAGCAGAAAGTGCAAGCAAGCGACTTCCAAAAAATGTGAGAAATGACAGAATCAGCTGGCTGCCTGGACACACACCCAAGGTTCCTCTGCAACGTTGGGGCATCCATCTTCGCTCTACAGGCCTAGCATATCCAATAGACTTTTCTGTGAAGCAGGATATTCTGAAGGGCTGTCCCTCCTTGTCTTGACAATATTTGGCAGTCACTTTCTTCTGTGTCCTGCTTGCCCTATTAGGACAGCATACTGTCAGCAGTTGAGGCAGGGCATTTTCTTGTTCAGTGATTTACTTTTTTTTAATAAGATTTACTTATTTATTATGTATACAACATTCCTTCCATGTATGCTTGCATGCCAGAAGAGGGCACCAGATCTCATTATAGCTGCACTGTGAGCCACCATGTGGTTGCTGGGAATTGAACTCAGGACCTCTGGAAGAGCAGTCAGTGCTCTTAACCTCTGAGCCATCTCTCCAGCCCCTAGTGATTTACTTTTGCCACAAAGAAAGTAAACTCCCCATGGAGTTTCTTCAATGTCCATTATTTTCTCTGAAGTAGGTTGGTGCTGCCAGGAGCAGACATGTCTCATTGTCACAAAAGAGAACATAGGTTATTAAAACATCTTAAATGCTATATTCTGTAGATCTCTGAAGCATTTGAAGATGACTTGTCTATCTAAAAAATATATTTGTTTGACCTTGAAAGCATACCTAAATGTGACCATAAGTTCAATTATACTAGGTGACTAATTACTAACCCTGTATTTCCTTATTACCCTAAACAGTTTGTAATAATAATTTTCAAGGTCTAGAAATTTGCATTACATTGTTGAATGAGTTGCATAGGTATAACACCTTGAACAAGAGTAAAAATGTATGTACAGGGCTGGAGAGATGGCTCAGAGGTTAAAAGAACTGACTGCTGTTCTGAAGGTCCTGAGTTCAATTCCCAGCAACCACATGATGGCTCACACCCATCTATAATTAGATCTGGTGCCCAGAACACTATATACATAATAAATAAATTTAAAAAAAAATGTATGTACAGTATGTTCTAACAAAATTAATCTCAAATTTGTAACAATATACAAAATTTGTATACAATATACAAAAGTCCAATCCAATGTAGAACATTTAAAACTACTAGTAGTTGCTTTTTAAAAGTAGATTCTGGGGGGCTGGAGAGAAGGCTCAGTGGTTAAGAGCATTGCCTGCTCTTCCAAAGGTCCTGAGTTCAATTCCCGGCAACCACATGGTGGCTCACAACCATCTGTAATGAGGTCTGGTGCCCTCTTCTGGCCTGCAAACATACACACAGACAGAATATTGTATACATAATAAATAAATTAATTAATTAAATAAAATAAAAATAGATTCTGTAATCTGTCTTTTTGTCTTATCATACCTATATCCTCCCTTTTTCTTTTCAGAGTAGATTCAATAATCTGCCCTTTTATCCCATGAGGCTTGTGGTGTCAGTGGCTGACCCTGGCAGAGGCAGGGGCTCTGGCACAGGAAGGTCACGTACTTGTGACTGTAAAACCAGTGTCTTTTTCCACGAGCTCTGGCTATCCGGGAAACGTTTTCCCTCTCCTGGTGGATGGAGACATGTTCTGGATGGTTGGTTTTTTAATCAGAATCTGTCTTCTCCAGGGACGGAAGTCTCCACTCTACCGAGTTGCTCCGCTTTGTGTCACCCCGAGTCTCACCATGCCAGGTGGGTGGGGTCCCAGGACTTGGTTTGCTGAAGGAAGTGACCGCTCTTGACCTCTCTCTGGCTGGATTAGTCTGACTTCTGGGCATGATTTCTGAGCTGTCAGTCTTAATGTCACGGTGACATAGGCCCATGGTCAAGCACTGGATGGGTGAGCTTTGGACTCTGCAGTCTCCGTGGGTACGCACCTCTTCCAGGAAACCTCCTCAACCTATAACTTCCCTGTCCTTCCAGTTTTCTGAGTTCCCTGGGTGTAGGATGGCTCAGCCTACTTTTTCTGCCTGGGCTAAGGAGGATAAGACAGAAGGGCTGGGAAATACTCGATCATATTTCACAGAATAAAATGAATTATTTACTTATCTGGGTTTTTTGTTGATAATTGTTGCTTGTTTGTTCATTTTTGAGACAGGCAGGGTTTCTCTGTGTAGTGCTGGCTGTCCTGGAACTCACTCTGTAGACCAGGCTGGCCTCGAACTCACAAAGATCCATCTGCTTCTGCCTCCCGAGTGCTGGGATAAAAGGCGTGCACCACCACCGCCCAGCATGAATGCAATGAGCCAAAGGGCTCTTGTCATTTAAGATGGGCCTGTAGTCTATATGTGCGGTTGTGACGTTTGGTCACAGAGGCAGCCTGAGCTGGGCTCTGTTTCCAGCCTCTTCAACACAGCATGACGACCCAAAGAATAGCAGCAGGGATGTTTGATTTCTAGATGTCCCCAAAGCCACAAGGGGAGCTTGGCCATCCCAGCAGGCCTTTCTGCCTCAGAGGAGGTATGTGGTGGCCTCCGGGTATCCCACCTGCCTCTGGCAGAAAGAGACTCTCATTTGACCCATGGCCAGATGGATTGTGGGGGTGCTGGCATCACACACCAGCACCCAGGTGTGAGGGCCCCTAAAGTCCCTGGAGCGAGAGGCATCCATCAGCAGGTCACTGTGGGGTGTGGGCTACAGTGGGTGAGATCCAGCAGGCCCCAGGGCTGGCAGGAATTTTCCACGCTCCTAAACCCAACCTGCTGAGCCTGGAAGCCGGCTGGAAGCCCCTGGGTGCCGCCCAGCATGGTGGTGAAGGCCAGGCTACCAGGACGGTGGAACGGTGATGTCCCCAAGGACAGTACCAGAATCCTGTACCCTGATCCCCGGGCTGAGTCTCTGACCCTAGGCTGAGCCCAGGTCCTAGTTGAGCCCCAACTCTGAATCTCAACTGTAGATAAGGGAGGCTTGGGGTTCAGAACCTCTGTTCCATCAGGCCCTTTCTGACCTGTCCCAGAGAATGCCATCTGTCCATGGGGACTAGCCATGTTTGTGCACACACGAGTGCATGTGTGTGCGCATGTGTGTATGTGTGTGTGTATACATGACTAGAAATTAATCTGAAATCCTAGTATGCATGTATGTGTGCCTGAGTGCCTGGAAATGAACCTGTATCCCTGTGTGTCCGTGTGTGTGTACACGTGCACAAATTCATATGTGAGTGTGTGAGCATGACTGGAAATGAGCCAGCAGCCGTGTGTGTGTGTGTGTGTGTGTGTGTGTGTGTGCACGCACACGCATGAAGACCAGATGTCAGCCTTGGCTGTCTGCCTAGTTCTGTCTTGTTTTCTGAGAGTCTCACTGGCCTGAGCTGGGCCAGTGGTCAACAAGCCCCGGGATCTTCCTGTGTCTACCCCAGGGCTGGGTTCCAGGGTGCACACATCACTAAGTGTAGCTTTCTCCATGGGTCCTGGAGATTCTAACTCAGGTCCTCATGGAGTGGACGGTAAGCACCCTGCCTGGAGTCGTCCACTAGCCACCCCCCCTTTTTTTGAGGCAGGGTTTCTCTGTAGCTTTTGGAGCCTGTCCTGGAACTAGCTCTTGTAGACCAGGCTGGCCTTGAACTCACAGAGATCCGCCTGCCTCTGCCTCCAGAGTGCTGGGATTAAAGGCGTGCGCCACCACTGCCCTGCTTGCCTTAGCCCTTTGACGGCAGGAAGCACCTCGGGGTCTGGTCTTGCTTCAGGCACCTCTCTGCTGAGCACCCTGCCCCATCCTTCAAGCCACCACCCAACACCACTGTGGCTTTATGTCTGCACACCACCTGTACAGTTTCCTTTTCAGAAATGTTTGTTCTGCCTGATCTTCCTGGTCCCCACCTTAGTCACACAGCTGGGCAAAGTGGTCAAGAACCTGAGAGAGGCAGAGGGACCGGCCACTGACGTGACAGGGCCAGTCCTTGGGGTCAGGGGACGCCTGCCCAGCAACTGGGGGCCAGCATTCCTCCCCAGAGTGCTGTGAACCCAGAGGCTTCCTCTGACCCTCTCTGAGTGAAAGGTGCCATGTACAGAGTAGGCCCCTGGAAGTCCCTCTCCCAGGCTCAGGGCCAGCTGGGACCAACTTCCAGGCTGGGGTGGGCCATCCATGTGTTCTGAGAGTCTTAGGTCTCCTCAGGCCCTAAAATGCTCCAGCAGCTTACAAACCTGCTGGAACTTCATTCCCCCAGACCTAGGGGTCTGCAATGGCGGAGGGGTCTGCTCCCAGGCTGGGGACCATTCACCACCCTGTGGTTCAAACCCATGCCCATCCCCCATGGACCCAGGACCTGCTCTTCCCCTGCTGTGCAAGCAATCCCCAGCCGTGGCCTCCTCGGCCCCTCCCGCACACCGGCAGCCAGGTGTGCTGTGTGGGTGGCTCAGGAGCCATGGGTACGCAGAAGCTGGCTCAGGCCTGGGGTCACTGGTGGGCTTGTCAGAGCACCCCGGCCCCCCACGTTGTCAGCTGTCAGGGCTCCTTCTGGCTTTCCACCTGGGCCAAAATGAATACGTGTCTCTGGCTTCCCTGTGCGTTCACTGTGAAAGTAAGGAAACTGAGGCTCATCCAAACCCATTGTCTCTTGGCATGTAGCAGCTCTGGCTGTCCTGGAATTCACTCTGTAGACCAGGTTGGCTTTAAATCCCTGCCTCTGCCTCCAGAGTGCCGGGATCGCAAAGGTGCGCCACCATCACCCGGCATTCTTCATTTTTGAGAGTAGCAATTCTCCCAGACACAGAGTGTTCTAGAACATTCCAGAAATTCTCATTTACACTCCTAGCCCTGCAGTACCTAACAGGTGATC